CCCCATCGCCTCCACGCCCCGCCCCCGCAACTTCCGCGCAGTCTGAGCCATTTCCGGCGCGCCGCTTCCCGTGTCGTTATTCCGCCCCGCCCACCATCTTCTCGCGGCCGGAAGCGCTTAGTGGCAGGGCGCAGAGGGGTGACGTCAGAGGCCGCTCAGAGCTGCGGGCTTTACGGGCGTGAGGTTCTGCTTCTGTCTTGGGTACTTGCACAGCGTTAGCGTGACTCAGGTCCCCACAGCTTTTGTCCAATGTCCCTCTTCATGACACTTTTATTTTAGACTCCAGTGTTGTCTAATTCTCTCTGCACGGTTTATGGGGCGTTGGAACTGCTCTTTGTGAAGTTGATAAAGGACAATGAAGTGGGAACAGTGGTAGGGGCCTAAAACTCTGCAAAGGTATAGGCATAGTTAAAATTACGTATATATAACAAGCCAGTGTTTACTAACTTGCTTTCCTATAATTGCTTATTAGTCAGGAGTCACATAGATGATGGTCTTAAAGATTATTAGCTTTCTTCATTGCTCCCGTAGATAACATCACTCTTGTGAAACCTAAGGCTGGTCTTTGAGATATCTTTCAGAGTCTGCATTATGGTGGACCAACTGACTCAACCAGACCAGTGGCCCACACCAAGGAACGAACTCAACTGGTCTTGCAACATGGGACTGACTCAGCACAAGAAGACAATTTCTGCTTCAGTATCCTTTGAGTTCATCCTCAATCAGTAGACCCGATTCCCTAGGCCTTTTCTTACCAACTATCTTTAAAAACTTTCTCCGGGATAACCAAAAGAGGGAATAAACCTCCCTAGATGTAGGGTTAAAAAAAAAAAATAGTAAGCCAGCCTGAGCAAGAGCGAGACCCTGTTTCTACTAAAAACAGAAAAACTGAGCAAAAGGATCACTTGAGCCCAAGGGTTGGAGGTTGCTGTGAGCTATGTTGACGCCATGGTACTCTACCCAGGTCAACAGCTTGAGACTCTGTCTCAAATAAGAAAAAAAAGTTAAAACATTTCTCTCAGATTCTCACAGAGATGGATTTGAGAAATTCCTCTTGTCTCTTTGCATGGTTCCTATAGTATTAAATTATTTCTCCATTGTAACTCCTGCTGTCTCAGTGTATTGGCTTCCTCTTGAGCAGTGGTCAGTGAACCTGGCTGGGCTATAACAGCATTAGTTCAGCACACTTGAGTGCGCTGGGGACAGAATCCAATCTATACATTCTAGGCAACTGGAATGAGGAGCATCCTGGGGAGTCCCCAGAAGCAAGTTGTGATGGGCCTGTGAGGCTAACAGAAGAAGGCATAAACCAAATCTGAAGGACACGCTGTAGTTGGCCTGTGACTCTGGAAAAGAGTGTTTCCAGTAGAGGGGAAAGCAGTCCAGAGACACCCAGGGGTTGACAGTCGGTGCTCAGAGCCTCTGGGTGGGGGTGTGCCTGAGGAGTGATCTTAGATGACACTGGAGGATAGGACAAAATCTATCCTATAGATCAAGGAAGGCTATCTGGAATGCAGGAGAGTTAGTACCCCAGAGTCTGGAGACTCACATGTGATCAGATTCACATTTTGGAAAGATCACTGTGAGGACAATGTAGAAGATGGTTTAGAATGAGGTGATATTTGGGAACCAAAGATCAGTTAACAATCTGTTGCTGTCCCCACACTTACCAGCTGTATTAAAGTGGTTAAAGAAATTGACCCTGCCACACTTTAGTTTCTTATCCATAAAATGTGAGTAATTATTATGGGGCCTTTGTGTTGTAAGCATTGAAGTATAACAAGAGGCAGTATTGCAGTATTGTTAAAAGACAGGCTCTGCAGTCAGACTGTCTAAATTATTTAATTTTCCCAAGTTGAATTTTCCTTATCTTTAAATGTAGCTATTAATAGATAATGAATCTGACAAAAGATTCCTGTCCAGAATATATACAGAACACTTAAAACTCAACAATAAGACCACCCAATATAAGATTTTAACAGACACAGACACTTCCACTGAAAAAGATATACAAAAGTATGTGAAACAATGCTCAGCATCATTCCTATTTTGGGAAATGTAAACCCAGTCCCAATGAAATACCACTAAATGTTAACTAAAGTAGCTAAAATTAAAAAGACTAACATCAGGCTCAGCGCCTGTGGCTCAAGTGGCTAAGGTGCCAGCCACATACACCTAAGGTGGTGGGTTCGAATCCCCAGCCTGGGCCCGCCAAACAACGATGGCTGCAACCAAAAAAATGGCCAGGCGTTGTGGCGGGCGCCTGTGGTCCCAGCTACTTGGGAGGCTGAGGCAGGAGACTCGCTTGAGCCCAGGAGTTGGAGGTTGCTGTGAGCTGTGATGCCATGGCACTCTACTCAGGGGGACAGTTTGAGGCTCTGTCTCAAAAAAAAATACTAACATCAGCAGAGTGCTATGGCTCATGTCTGTAATCCCAGTACATAGAGACCAAAGCAGGAGGATCACTTGAAGCCAGGAGTTGGAGACCAGTGTGGGCAACATAGATAGACCATATCCCTACAAAAAAATTTTAAAAACCTGGGTGTGGTGGAACACATGTATAGTCCTAGCCACTCAGTTGGCTGAGAGAGGAGGATCACTTGAGTCCAGAAGATGGAGATTGCAGAGTTATGACTGTGTCACTGCACTCCAGCCTGGGTGACTGAGAAGGATGTGGAAAAACTGGAATTCTCATACACTGCTGATGGAAATGTAAAATAATGTAAGAGCTTTCAAAAACAGTTTGCCAATTTTTTTTTCTTTTTTGAGACAGAGGCTTACTCTGTTGCCACAGTTTAGAGTGCCATGGTGTCAGCAACCTCAAACTCCTGTGCTCAAGTGATCCTCCTACCTCAGCTTCCTGAATACTGAGACTACAGGTGTCCACCATGACACCTAGATAATTTTCCTGTTTTTAGTAGAGATGGGGTCTCACTCTTGCTCAGGCTGTACTCAAACTCTAGAGTTCAATCAATCCTCTTTCCTTGGCTCCCAGAGTGCTAGGATTAAGTTTGGTGGTTTCTTATAAACATATACCTACCATAAGGCCTAATTGTTTCACTTCTAGGTATTTACTCAAGGGAAGTGAGTATGTATGTATGTATGTACAAAATACTGTATGACTTCATTTAAACAAAAGTCTAGAAAAGGAAATATATAAAAATATACATGAAATGTCAGAAAGCAAGTCAGTAGTTGTTGCTTGGGCCTAGACAGAGGAAGAGTAGATTAGAAAAGGTAGCATAGGCTCAGCGCCTGTGGCTCAACTGGCTAAGGCACCAGCCACATACACCTAAGGTGGTGGGTTCAGATCCAGCCCAGGCCTACCAAACAACAGTGACGGCTACAACCAAAAAATAGCCGGGCATTGTGGTGGGCGGCTGTGGTCCCAGCTACTTGGGAGGCTGAGGCAGAAGACTTGCTTGAGCCCAGGAGTTGGAGGTTGCTATGAGCTGTGATGTCATGGCACTCT